GCTGCGCCGGGGCGGGGCGCTGGCGGGGGCCGGCGCTGCCCCGCCGGCACCGACTCCTGCCGCTGCTCCCGGTGCCGCTCCCGCTGCGTCTCGGGGTGCGGTGCCGGCGGCGGCGAGCGGACGCGCAGTGCGGGGCAGCGGCGGCTCCATCCCGCTCCCGTCGTCGCTGCCGGTGTCAAATTCCAGCCGCCGTCATCTGACCGGCGGGGCGGGCACCGGCACCGACACCGGGACCCCTATTCGCACTGGCACCAGGATACCAACCGGTACCCCGATCCGCACGTAGTGGCACCGGGACTCCGATCCGCACGGGCGCCTGGACCGCACCGGGCTCAGGAGGGCACCGGAATCTCGCCAGCAGCAGGAGCCGCAGCCCTACCCGCTTCAGCACCGGCTCTCGCCGTGATCCGCACCTCCTCCGAGCTCCCGCAGGAACTCGCACGCCGCCAGGAACGGCACCGAGACCCCCGGAGGCACCCGACCTCCGCTACTGCCACCTGCCCGTCGGCCGACCCCCCGGCAGGCGGACCCGCAACCCGGACGGACGGAAGGACACCCCGTGAGCCAAGCTCCCTGCCCCGACAGCCCGGTCACAGCGCTACCAGGACGGACACGCGGACACCCTTGGGAAAGGGTTCAGCCCTTCCCGGAGCGCTCCGGCAGCAGTGCCCCCCGAGGACCCCACGCCCTGCAGAGCCCTTCAGGGACCCCTTGCACACATGGGGCTCCGGCAGGATGGGTTGTCTGGCAGGATCGGGGTCATCCCGGCCGCTCCCGGCCGCGGCAAGACCGGCCGGCGTCCCAAGCGCCCTGAGCTGACTCGGGTCACCGGTGTGGCTGTGCTCGTGTCCGGCCGCGCCGGAGGAGGAGCCCGGCCCCCCGCCCGCCCGCTCCCCGCGTCTCGGTCCTTCTTGGCTCGGCCTCCCGCCACCGGGTTCCTTACCTCTGCCGTCGCCCTGCCTCCCACCGCCGGGGCCGCCGCTGGCCCCGGGGACATGGGGGCTGGCTGGCGAGTCGAGCCGAGCCCGTGCGAGTCCTTACGTCACCGCCCGGGGCCCTCCGCGTCCATCCCGGGGCTCTCGAGTGCTCCTTGCGAACGTGCCAAATCCCGGGGCCGCCTCCGCTCGGCCCCGCTTCACACGTGCTCCCCTGGCCGGAGCTGATCGCCGGGACGTGCCCCGGGCCAGGCGAGCCCCCCGGGTCCGGCCCTCATGGCTTCGGGGTCCGAGGGCGCCCGGGCGGGCTGCGCGCCCCGCGKTGCCGCCGGCAGTGTCACCTGTCCCGGCGGCGCTCCGCCGCCTCGGCGCAACTCGCCGCACTTATGCAACTCCCCGGCTGGAGCGGGGCCAGCGGCTCGGTCGCCGGCTGTGCCGCGGCTGCATGCCGGGCTCCCGGTCACCCCGACCTCGGGCCCCCCGCGTGGCTTTAACCTCCTGCCCGCCGCCCGGCAGCCCTGGCCCCGCGTCCCGCGGAACGGACGGATGGCCGCGCCCGCAGCCACCTGCGGAGCCGCCGCCTCGCCTGCTCTCATCTCCTGGGATTATCTAGCGCGGGGGTGACAACTCCCGCGTCCTCCTGCGACATCACCTGCCAGGGAGTGTGCGGGCACAGGCGGCGCTCACTAAGCCGTTCCTGCCACCGCAAGCAGGGACAGCGGAGGTGGCACGCGGCCCGGAGCTGCTGTCCCTACCCTGGAGCGGCATCGCGTGGCCCTGGCTCCTCGCTTTCACCTCCAGCCCTGTCCTGGCACAAGCATCTGGGCCTCGTCTGTGGCCATGGGTGGTTCCATGAGTGCTAGTGGGAGCATGGGCGCTGCCGTGGGACTGCGCTGCTCCAYGGGCATGGCCTGGGGCTGCTCCCAGCTGAGGTGTCCTCATGGGAGCTGTCAGAGGCAATGCCCATGGATGCCTTGGCCCAGCAGAAGTTTGGAGGCCCTGGAGCATCCCTGGGGTAGAGAAACAGCTGAAGGCAGGTGACAAAGAACAGGGTCTTCTGCTCTGCAGGGCTGCAGACTAATGCAGCTGCCTGCTTGGGAAATTTCAGTGTGAGTGGCATGTCCTGTTTCAGGTTCCTTGGCTGTCCCCATGGAGCTGGGGCTGGCCACAGCTGTGCCCATGCTGTGGAAGCTGCCCAGGAAGAGAGGGCTGCCCATGAAGGGAAGGGCTGCCTTCCCCACGGACAGCCCTCAGGGCTTGGAGACAGCCTCAGGTGCTGACCCAGCAGCGAGGTTATCCCATCCCCTCCTACCTTCCCTCCAGGTCGGGCAGATCCTCATGTCCCCAGGACACAGCCAGGAAGTTCTGAGGATGTGAGGCTAGTGGTATGCAGCTGGCTGTATGGGCATGGCACAGGGTATCCAGGGGACCCTGTACAAGCGAGCCCACAGTGTCCCCGGTCCTGTGAAAGGGGTCGGTGTTCAAAGCCATAAAAAGCTTGGTCTCTGTCCTCTTCCAGGTGTGCCCAGACACCTGGAGGCACTGGTTCCCTCTTTCCTCCCATCCTGGGAGACATAAACCTGCTGCTGCTGTCAGCCCCACTAATGTCCTACCAGCAGCACCTCCTCCCTGTCCCCCCACAATCATGGTGGCAGGGATGGCACGTCCCTGCTCTGTGCCTCAGTCCCAGCACTGCTCTCCCCTCTTGGGCTCCCATGAGAATTGGCTCTGCCCTGGGAAGTTCTGAGCATGAGTCAGGCTGCACAGGGTACTGGGGTGCACGGCAGGGATACCAGCCCCACAGGCTCAAGTTAAGGGGTGATGTGCTCTCTGGCTGCTGCTGGCACTGCCTGGCTTGGTACTTCCCAAGACACTGCCTGTGTCAGCCTGTGCTCCTGTACCCCTGGGGCTGGGGTGTCCCCAAGTGCCTTGTCTGGTCTGGAATAGCCCTTGCGGGGCCAGGGCCTGCTGTGCCATCTGCTGAAGGTGCCACTCTTGCATGTGGCAGGATGGGGGTGATGCAGTCCAGCCAGATGGCAGAACTGAGCATGCCATGACTGCTCTGAGGCCATGGCTGGGTGTGACAAAACATACGTGGGAGAGCTGTGACACAGGCATCCCATCTCAGCAGTGACGTGGCTCTTTCAGGGATCCCTCTGAACAAATCTCCTTGGCTCAGCTGACTTGAATGTCCTTGTGTGCCCTGGTCCCAGGCTCTGTGCTTGCTTCCTCCTCTGCCCTCCCAAGGCCAGGACAGGGCTTGGGCCATCTCTGGGGCTGGCCCAGCCCAATGGCAGTGGAGGCCCTCCTCTTTAAGTGCTGTGAAGAGAGGAGGGAAGGAAGGAGAATTTGAGCAGCTCCAGCATCTCCTTCTTGAAGTTTGAAACCATGCACCAGGGAGGGCTGGGCAGTTGCTTCTCTGGTGTCCCATTAGTGCTAGCAACAACCCACCCCTTGTTGTTTAGAAGCTGGGGGGTCTGGCAAGCCACTCACYGACCTGGAAGTGGCCTTCCATTTCTCTGAGTGATGCCACTGTCCCCAACATATCCTGTGGCTCCGGGAGCCTGGCAGCATCACCAGGGTTTGCCTAAGGGGTTACACTCCTCCTGCTGGGACTTGGCAGGTGTCAGAGCTGGTCACAGCCTCAGCCCCTGGCTCCCTAAACYGTTTCCTTTTCCTGGACACTGTGGTGAGAAGGTCACTTGGCTGGACACCTGCCTTTGTCAGGGCCGCACCCAGCACGATTGCTGCTGTGACCCCTGGCGGGAAGTCACCCTGCTGGCAGGGAGTCCCCAGGAGAGCAGTCAGGATCACAGGCAGCCTGTCACAGGCAGGACAAGTTCTGATGCCTGTGCCTTCCAACATGAAATGAACCCAACCTGCTRTCCCCTCTCCCACCCCTCAAATCACCTGCAAGGAGGAGCGCAGCCCTCTCCTGTCCCCAGCCCCAGGCCAATGGCATTGGCCAGCTGTGGCTCTCAGCAGCTGGATTACTCTCCTGGAGGAGTCAGCAGTGAAAGCAGGCAGGGGACAGCCCAGCCAGGGGAATCCCTCTGCCTCCTGTAAAAAAGGCCCAAGGCAGCAGAAGAAAGAGGCCAGCCAAGCTTGTTTGATAGCTTTATTGCTTCTGTGATATGACTTGAATTGATGTGACATAAGCCGGCTTGGAGGAGCCTGCAAGACTCTTGCCCTCCCTGCCTAGAGGGGAAATTAAAAAAAATTGMAGAAACTAAAACTAATTTTAAAAACTCATTGAGTTCTTGCATCTTGGCTTGGTACAGTACCGGCGAATGCACTGGCCTTTTCGAGACCCCGTGCAGGCTGTGCAAGGAGCCAGAGCCCAGAGGGGCTGGGCAGTGGCCCCAAAGGAGCTCCTGCACCAAAGGACACGTCTCTAATACTGCGAGTGACACACACTTGAATGCCGTGCTGGTGCCCGTGGAGCTCGGCATGGTGGCTGCCTCCCTGCCAAACACTTGGAAGCCCTTGCCCGTGTCCAGTTCTGCCTGTACCCAACCCAGCTGTGGCCATTGACACAGACTGCCCTGTTCTGACACCTTCCCCCACTCCCAGCAGTGCCCACACTGAGGGGTAGCACAGCATGGCCTGGCAGGACCTCCCCACTGCTCCCTCCAAGGAGACACTGGAAACCAGAGATGCTGGGATGAGGAATGTTGGGCTGGATCCCACTGCTGCCTCCTGCTACCTGGCCATGRTGCTTCCCTTTGGCACATGTGAGCTTGAGACCACAGCATGGCCAGGCCTAATGGAGTGAGCTGGTGGCAGGAGCCCAATGCCAGTGTGGTGGGCGCTGCCATAAATGCACAAGCAGCTCATGGTGTGGTCAGCACAGCAGCAGCAACTCTCTGGCAGACCCTGTCCTTTAGAGCAGCATGTGCAGGCTGCCCAGCAGCATCCCAGACCTGGAGCACCAGCTGGAGTGAAACCCACTGTGGGCGCTGGCTCCTGATGTCTCTGTGTTTCCCTGGCCCTCTCTGGGCGGGTTCCCTGCCACCCGAGTGGCCTTTCTGCACCACAGCGCATCAGAGGCACCAGGCAACCCCGCTCTATATTTAGGCTGTGGAGAATTCCCCTGGGCTCTCCCTTCCGATCTGACAAGGTGAGTCACTGCAAGGGAGAGGCCAAGACTCACATCCGTCCCACTGACCCTGCTCTGACCTGTGTGCACCGCTCTGTGCTGGCAGGACTGCAGCGTTTCGAGGGCGGGAGGTGGCTGCAGGTGTGCGTGGAGAGGCAGCCAAAAGAACGGCACCCAGGAGCAAAACCCAGTGCTGGGCACTGCTCCTGGAGCTGGAGCCCCATCACCTGGCCACGGGCTGCTCCGTGGTGTCAGTGAGCCACAGGAGAGCCTTGGCCCCYAAACGCTCTTTCCTTCTACCTGCAGGGGGTCCTGACCCACCACAGTCACTCTGGGCCACTCACTCACCTATTCAACTTGGACACTTCTGCCTGGAGACCCCCGTCAGGGTGGAAGGAAGGGCCTGGAGTTATGTCCCTGCTCTGAACTTCCATCAGGACCTGTTCATGGCTGTGGTGAAGAGCTGGGRTGACAGGGAAGGCCGAGCAGTGGCCATGCTGTGTCCTTGGACCTGGAGCCAGCGAGTTGGAGGATGAAAGTGCCCTGTAGTTTTGTAGTGCTCAATAAACCAATCTAAATCAGATTAATGCCATCACAAGCCTCCACGAGGGTGGAGAGGAGCCCACCACAGACACTGAAGGCTCTTTATCCCCCTCCTCCTTCTGGGTGCAGCTTCCCACGCTGGCATCTCAGCTCACTGCAGCACATGGGTACAGCCCATCGCCTATCCCTGCCCCGAGGCTCCCATGGCAGCTGCTTAAAGACCCAGTTCAAGGACTAAGAGGAGTTGTCAACCCTTTCCCAGCCACAATCTCAGCCAGCTCCAGACCGAGCATCCCCACTGCCAGCATGGCTCAAAAGATGATGGTCCTAAGTCCAGGCTGATATATGGGAACTGCAAAGGGCGTGTTGCTTGGTGAGAGCCATGGAAATCCAGTCCCATGGACTTCTTGAGAAGGAAAAACAAACTGGGAGATACTTCAAAGGAGTATCTGCCATAGCATATGCTCAAAAACCTGCTGGAAACCTCACAGAGCATCCTTACAGCAGGCGTGTCCCTGGGGGAACAGGGAGGCCAGAGCAGTGGGGAAAGGACATRGGGAGGGTAAAGGGAAAGAGAGCCCTCCCAGCGTGATCTCTGCAGCCCAGAAGCAGCAGGATCTTTGGGCTGCTCCCAGATGACAAGGGAAACAGCAGCCACAACAAGAAGCTGGGCAGGACTTGCCCTTGAACAAGCCCCTTGGCTACAGGCACACCAGGCAGGAGAGGCTCCYGAGGGACACATCCCATGCTGGTCTGTAAGCAGCTCTCAGTGCCGTGTCCTGGCAGCTGCCTCTGCCTGCAGCCTGGACTCAAATAATTCTGTRCAGTTTGCTCCTCTGTCATGCCTGGGTCACTGCCTGCCCCTCCTGCACAGCCCCTTGAGGGTCTCAGCTCCAAAGGCACAGCCCTCCGCAAGTCAGCAGGTGCAGAGTTGGTCTAGGGGAGCCACGTGAGCCCTGCTCTGAGCATCCCCTGCCCATGCCAGGGCCATGCTCCCCCTTCAGTTCAGAGCAAGGCAGACTGCAATCCTTGGGCTGTGACAGTCACAGTGCCAGGACCATGAGTCCACCCCACATTCCTCGGGGATCCCCCTCCACTGAACACAGTGCTGGCTGCCTGTGCCTCAACACCCAGGTACTGGGACAGTGCCTGTGGGTGCAGTCCAGCCTGCTCCAGTCTCAGGAGYCACTTTCCACGTGTAATCAGTCATTCCCTTGGCAATCGCCCTCCTGATCATGCTCTTCAGGCGGATGAGACCACCCTGCTACCCTCTCACTTGGCCACATTGCTCAGTTTATTCCAGCTCCTCTGAAATACGTATACAAATCAAATGTGCAAATACTGCATCTTGGGACCAAGACGGCGAAGGAAGGACGTGCTCCTGAGAGCAGGAGGAGCAGCAGTGCTCGAGCAGCATGGGAGGAGCTTGGAAATGGAGTGAGCAGGGGGCCGAGCAGAGGGTGAGAGTTCCCATCAGGTTCCATCATCATTGAGGTCACACGTCGCTTAAATAGGGAACATGATCGAGTCTGGAACGTAAAACAAACATCTTCAGCAGTCTGCTCTCAAACTGTAAAGCTTGAGATCTGCACTCAGATCTGACCTCCTTCCAAAGAATAAATTACTCCCCTCCCACACAAAACCAAAGYGAGATGCTGTCCAGAAACAGTGACAGCAGTCTGCACGGACTCCACGGGGGCCCTGCACAGCAGGCACAAACCAGGAGGCCSGACAGCCTTGAGCACAACGGGGCAGGAGCCTCTGCATCGTGACGGGCAGGAAGGTGAGGAGGGTCTGCTGTAAGCGGAGAAAGCCACTGGCTCCTGCTCCACCTCAGGATCAAGGCAGAGGCAGAGCAAATGGCTATGAAAAACACAGCCAAGTCAGTGGCTGCTGCTGTTGCTGCCTCTGTGGAGGAAGCGAGGAAAAATGCAGAARAACAAACCCATGCTCATCTCCATCCAGAAGCTCCAAGTGGAGAATGAGAGGAAGCCATTATTATCCCTTCGAATTGTAACAGCACCAGTGACACCAAAGTTYTGGATGGATTTGTCTTCCTGGAGAAAGGTCTGAGGCCGGTGACAATGCAGATGGAGCATGAAGAGGCCAGGTTTTTCGCAGGGCTGTGCACAAGCAGACTTTGCCTTGTACCTTGGTATTTCTAGTATGGTTCCAGCAGAGTCTTTTAAAAAATAATACTTTGTACATTCAGGCATTGCTGCCTTGGGGCAGCATCACCTCCCATTTGGCACAAATCATTTTATTGACAAACCTTTCTTCTCTCTCCTGAGTCTTTCCTGTCTAATTCAGGAAGCAGAAGATCTGTCTGCGATGCAGAGTTCAAGAACTGTCCGCTCAGCCCCTTGCCCACCTCCTGTCAGCTCCAGGCCTGGAGGTGGCAGATGTACCCCTCGTGCAGACTGCCAATGCAAGAGGGTCTTCCCAGAGCACCTGGGCATCTCTGTGTGTCTTCAGTGAGGTGGGATTCTTGCAGGGGGCTGCCAGTGCCTGCTCCTGGAGCTGCAGCGTGTCTTCGTCTCCTCCCTTGGAGGCAGTGGCTGCAGCCACTCAGATCCCACTGGTTAGGTCAGTGATGACTCGGGCTTTCACCAGCTTCCTCAGAAACTCCTTCTCCCGTTGAATGTTGTGCGTCCAGGACTGGAAGAAAATGAGAGAGACACAAGGTCAGCAACTACCCTGGCCTAGCATGCTCCTGTCCCTCATTTTGGGATACTCTGCCAAGGAGAGAGACCCTGCTGTACATCAGAAGAGCCCTTGCACACCAAGGACCTTCTCTTAGGTAAAAATGGCACAGCCAGCAGGGTCAGACCTGTGTACCTGAGGTAGAAGGTTTCCCCATGGGCTGGGTGAAGTTTTGGCATGGTGAGATTTGGGCAATCCAGGTCCCTTGGGCAGATGTGCCCTCCCAGGCTACTGCACACAAGAGCCCAATAGCACAGCACTGCTGGCAGGGAACAGAGCTGGCAGAGGACACGATGGCAGGACATGTCCCCAGCACACACAGCTCCCTGTCAGGCCATGGCAATGCATGGGGGTGCATGCAGCTGGAAAACCCCAAAACCATCCCCATCAAAGCCGGCTCTTGCCTCTGCTAGCTCTATCAAGAGGAAATCAYATGCTAAAGGTTACACTAATACAATGTGAACGGTGCAATGGCAACATCTCCCAGGAGGCACTCCACAGCAGTGATTGCTRTAGCTGGTGTCAGCCCACCCAGATGTGTTCCCTGCAGCAGGGCTGAGCTGGGATCGCAGCATCTGCCATCACTCCCCTGTGCTGGGACTATTGAAGCACTTAATGAATGCAGGAAGTGGTTTGTCATACCATGGAGCTCAAGGCAGAACAGGGAAAAGCAACTTTCCCCCAAATCCCCCAACAGGCCAAGAATCTCAGTAAATTATTTCGGCATAGTGCTGTGGTCAGCAGGTAATCTGAGTGCTAAACACAATCTGGACCATGACAAAATCACTTTACAGGAGCTTGTAACSAACAGAGCGCCAGCCCCAGGAGCCCGCTGAGGGCACTGTCATAGGTATCAAAATCCAGTTTACCCACTGCAAAATCAAGGGCACCTGCCTGCCTGCCAAGCACTGCTTATACACATCAGGCACAATGTGCATGTGGCTCTCCTGTCACCATGCTTGYCCTGCCATGTCCTGGCTGGAACAAGCAGCTGAGAGCAAGAGGAAAAGGAAAAGGACATCCAGAAAGCAGTGGTGGGAGTGATGGTGGCACAGAGAGAGCTGGGAGAGCAGGGCTGAGTGTGCCTGTCACTTGGAGCCAGAAAGCCAGGATCCCCCAAAGTGCTGGCAATGATCCCACACGTGGCATGTCACCTGGGGGCCCTGGGCTTGGCCCCTGCCATGCAGCAGTGTCCYTTCTGCCAGCACAGCCCCTTGCCAGGAACGCTCAGCAGGCAGAGGCAGAGTGTGTGGGTGAGCCCCTGCCCACAGGCACCTGTCTGCTGGCACACAGGCCACGCTGGGACACAAAATCTCAGCGCATTTGCTTGCATCTGGCTGGGCTTGGTGTTCAAACCTGCCTGGAGCACCAGGAGCCTGACACCTCWCAGCACAACCTGAGCCCTCCTCCACGCCTTTCAGCCTCATCACACACTACGAGAAGCCAACTGGTTTCAGCCAGGACAGGCTGTTTGTGTTCCTYGTACAGATGAAGAACTGGGGAGGCAGCCACTTGTAGGCAAACTCAAACCACCTAAAAYGTCACCTCAGGCCACGTGCATGTGCCTTATCTGATGGCAAGAGGAAATCTGCTTTGTGAAAAGTACAAGTGGAGCAGGAATTTAAGTCCGGAGGGTAGATAATAAAACTTGGGGTGATACAATTGGAGTCTCTCACATTACAGCTAGGCCATGCTCCAGCAGTGGCTSCAAARCTGCTGGCAAGACTRTCAGGCTGTGGYTGYTCAGCACCCAGGCTGCTCTTTACCTCAGGCACTGCCACAAAGTCCTTTTTACAAGCAGAAAGTCACATGAAAGGCAATTCAGCCTCCCACCTGATCCACAGATCTTAGTGATGTCCACATCAGTACTCTCTAATGTTTTGTGGTTAATGTAAGCCCTCAGAGGAAGAGGTTCCTTGGTGAGAACAGGCTTTCATCCCTCCCAAAGAGCACTGTCAGGGCACTCAGTGCAGTGCTGCTCCCCCATGGCCCGACAGCAGCACGGGCAGGAGGGATGAGGCATGTCTTCAACACCAGCTCCGGTTACTGATTACAGGACAGGGACTCACTCACCCCACTGACAGACAGAGCAGATCAGACGAAGGAAGCTGCATTCCAGCAYTAGCAGCAGTAGTGGGGAGAAGAGCCAGAGCAGTTTTCTCAAAACTGACAGAAAGGCAGGCACCTCAGTGCCAATGCTCCAACAGGAAAAGGCAACAAATTACACCCTAAACCCCAAAGGTTTCAGGGTGTATACACCTTAAATAGTACCTTAAATAGCATACAGTACCAGYGGAAAACTCCAGCTCTTTTCTTGTCAATCTGCACCTCAAAGACAGTGATGGAGCATTCACTGTCACCTCCACCTTCCTGACCCTGCACATCACCACCACTGCTGCAAGCTGSCAGACTGGCTCTGCCCTCTCCCTCCTCTGCTGCTCACATCTGATGCAGCTTCCACTTGTGGAATCAAACAGGCCTGAGCCCATGGTTGGAGTAATGAACTTTGAGAGTTCCAACAGGAATGTTCCAGGAGGCTCCAAGACCCCTTCTTGTTCTCTGGGGATCAGGCTAGGATTTCCTGTGCTTTGGGTTTCTCTGAGTAGTGGATGTTTGCCCTTTCCAGTGGAGAGAGAAGCAGAAGGAGCAGAGTTACTCCGCAAACACGTGCACTGTTATGGCTGTTCATCCCAGGGAAGTGGCAGTGGCTCTGAGCGCTCCGTCACAGTTATTAGATGAAAATTTATCATCAGTTAAAGCCACCTTTCAGGGTTATGCAAATGAAGCAGCCCCAAACCACCTATCCTTTTAATCTTGACAATTCCACAAAGAAGCACAAAACATCATCTGTCACTTCAAGAGAAGCCAAGTGGAATATTTTAAGCCCAAGCAAATGTTTCAGGAACCAGCCCAGGAGGAAGGTAAGCTCCCCGTCTGTAATCAATTACAACTGGGGAATGCCTCAGCTTCAGACCACATTAGTCTTATCAAGCATGCTACAATTAAAATACAGGAAGGCTAAATTAGAGAGAGAGAAGTCAGTGAGGAATGCRTTCAAGAAGAACAGCAAGTTGTAAAGAAGACGTTTTCTCAATTCTGCTACATCCTCTGTATTTCTGCAAGTCAGCAGCACTTCTYCCCGAAAACCTGCACAGAAACCACAGCAAAGCAAGGAGTGCTGCTTCACTGGCAACAATYGGTTTCCAGTCTCCACCAGTGCTAATTTATCTTTGTCTTCAACCTTCACTGCCTTGTCTCTAAGGCTGCTTAATTTTCATGATCAGACTTCCCCACTCTGCTTGAACCCTCTTGGGATTCACAKGTACTGAAACAAAAGGGATGGCTGGGCACCCTCATCCTCTCAACTTTAGGGGATTTACTCACAGCTCCTTTATGCCTAGTTATTCTTACATCAACTTTAAATTTCAAACAACTGTTTTTGCTCCTGCTTACTCTTAATACACACAGAGAGAGAAACTGTATCTCTTTTCAGTCTTCATTTGACCAAGTTAAACAAGCCATGTATGTCTTCATTATACCAAAACAGGCTGTTCATTTACACCATGAAAACTGGGAAATCTCCCAGAATTATAGTAGTTCATTCTGTCCCTATCTACTCCAGATTTACTTCTCATGAATCAGAAAAAAGGCTCACCAGTGCCTAATGCAGAGGCATTTCTCTCACTTTACAAGAAGTCTTTTACTCTAGCCTTTCCAGAGCTGTGTTTGTCTGTATTGTTTTTTTTTTTTATTCACAGTAACAGTCTGGCAGCCTGAATTAACCTGYGAATTATTTGTACCTATCTAAGCACTTTCCTTCTCTGCCATTGCCAAATAATGCTATCCCAGCTGAGAGTCAAAAAATCTGTAATTGCCCTAAACAGCACGACCTTCCATTCATACTCTTAGGTTTCATGCCACCCAGTTCAYTCCTGTTCTCAACGTGCTCATGGTCTTCCTGGATGGTATTTTTACCCTCCCTTGTATTGACCACACCTGGTTTTGTCTCATCACAAATTCCACTTGCACACCATTGCCTTCTGTGCCAAAAATCATTAAAGCAAACACTAAACATGCCCTCCTGTGGAGGAACTCCCAGCTGTCCATTCAGTGCTGCTTTTTGTGCTTTCCCTTAGAGAGACTATTCACGTACAGGTGTTGCACCAAACCGTGGCTTCTGAAGCTTAACTAATAATATCTCGCACGGCACAGGATTGCACGCTTAACTGAGCTTCTGACAGACAGGACTGCTACACTTCCTCTGTCCCAGGAATGATTTTTTTAAAAATCAAATAAAGATATTAAATTAGTTTTTGTAACCTGCCTTTGGTAAATCCATGTTGTGTTTGCTTTCAGGATTTAATTATTCTTTCKTTTAAACTCTGCTCTGAAGTTCTGAATAGTACCTCTGAGGTTAGTTTAAGAGGTTTGAATTCGACAGGATTATTTTCCTTGACTTGATCCCATCCCCCCTTAAAATAGAAGGGAAAAAGAGGTATTATGTCCACTACAAACTAATCCTGTGGAACCTGATAGATTTATTGGGCACCTTTCCTCTGGASTTGCAGCTTAATTGGCTCAAAGCGGAACAGAGATCTCTTGGGCTCTCACACCTACGGCTTTGGCTTCAACAGCTTTTACCTTTCAGTGCTGACCCAGTAATTTTCTTTTTCTGTGAACTTYTCACTGTAAGCCACTCTTTCCCTCACATTCATCATCCTGATTGAGGCCACATATATATTCATATGGTTCCTACTTTAATCCTTCTGCTTCCTTCACCCCCCTGGATGTCAGCCCTATTCTTTCTTTCCTTGTTTGCTTATTAATTGTTTGTCAGTGACACTGTTCAGTATTTGCTGATTTTCCTTCTCACCTTCTAATYGAACTTTGCCAGTTTCTCCTTTATGTCTGTCCTTTCCAGTCATCAGGAGTGAARTCTTCTGATGCTCTTCCTC